CTCCCTGTCTGTCTCTGTCTCTGTCTCTCTCTCTCTCTCTCTCTCTCTCTCTCTCTCTCTCTCTCTCTTCCTCTCTCTTTGTCTCTCTGTCTCTGTTTCCGTCTCGGTGTGTCTGTGTGTCTTTGTGTCTGTCTGTCTGTCCGTCTGTCTGTCTCTTTCTCCCTCTTAGATCTCTGTGCCTTTCTTACTTGCTCGCTTTCTTTCTGTTTCTGTTTATTATTATTATTATGTAAAACATACCTATCTACTAACTGTTGTCTATTTTATGTTCGCAGTACTCGTATTCTTGGAAGGCTGTCCAAGAATTAATAGCAGAATTGCCATTGTTCAGGCACGTCACGGGTCTTGGAAACACGAAGTTGTGATTTAATGTTCCTTTTCTCTCTCTCTCTCTCTCTCTCTCTCTCTCTCTCTCTCTCTCTCTCTCTCTCTCTGTCTCTCTCTTTATAGCACAGTGAAACAGGCTTGGTTGATATGTGACTATCTTGAATATTACAGTGTGTAGATTTTCATCTATTGGAGTATTCAAGTCAGACATGGTTTGATAACGGTGAGAATGGAGACCCCATACTGAATGAACGGGTGAGTTTATGTAAATATGTGTGAAGACTCATTGGAATCAGAAGCTCGTCAGTATTTGGGCATATGGAGTTATTGATATCATCTTATAGCCTGTTTATTTGCCTTGCCTTTGATAAAAAAAATATCCATCTATCTTGAACAGAAATCGAAATATTTGTGATTGGAGGAGGTGGGGATCGCCCGATTTCAGAGGTAAAATCAATGAGAAAATGGCCGCCAAAGTTATGTGACTTCCATAGTTTGAGAGTCCTTGGTAACTGAAAATATACATTCTGTGTGCCTTTAAACACTGTTTTTCTGTAACTTCCATACAGAAATGTGTTTTTAAATGGACATAAAAGGTGTTGAGACAAAAAAAGAAAATTCGGAAAAAATTACCCGACGGCCAGAAAAATGCCAATTTCTTTGATTTCATTATTTTGACGAGTGCCTGATTTCACTACGTTTTGTCACATATTGAGCCTTTCCCCACCTTTAATCTCTACAAAATTCTGGAGCTTCACGACATTCTTGGAATAAAATCTTGCTTTCCAGTCCTAGAGTATATCTCTCAGTATTAATAGTATGTGAATTTCTTTATGACTACTTTCAATGGAATTGCTAAGGTTCTGTTAGAATTTGGTCACTGAAGATTTTCAGTTCTCTTACAATATTAGCACTGTGTCTATTAAACAGTGAAAGAGTCTGGCCTCCTGAAGTACCAGTTTCAGAAATTTTACTTTGGTTTGTATGTTTTGAGTTGACAACCCTATCACCACAGTAATTGCTTTCAACAGTAAAACGAAACTTCCTCTTTATGTTAGGGGTTTTGTTTTGTGTAAATGTTTTAGCTTCATCAAGAAATGATTCCCTTAAACAAATACAATTAGACCATCCTACTCAATAAGAGAAAAATGCAGTTTAGAATGACTTTGTACGATGTTTATATTTGTTACCCTTTTTAAAATCTAACTTGTGAATGAGTTTTTTTTAAAATTATTTGTTTGTGGTCATTGTAAGCTGATCGGAAGTCCTTGACTGTTCTGGCTCAGAATGGCAGGCTGAACTGTTTCATTGTTGTTGCAGGTCTTAGGTTTTGGTCTAAAGGATGTTCCCTCCCAGAGGACACAGGACCCTGTCAAATTTCGGATACACACCCAGCGCCGACGAGTGGCTGCCAAGAGTGCAGAGTAAGGAATCGCTTACAAAATGCTCTTTCCCATGCTAAAAATCTTGTGCAAAAGGCCGAGGAAGAGTTTCATCAGACTCGCTGTATATAAAACCAAACTTTGCAATCTATTTACATGTATAAGAACTGATGAATGAGACTCCAAGCTTTCTTGCCTAAGGCTTTATCAGACAAAATACCCAGTAGCAGTCTGATCATTGCATGTTCTTTAACTTGGTTGAGTCTTGAAAGATGATATAACATCTTAAATTCGCCCAACTGTTTTAAAGCATTTTCTTGTGCTACAATGCTGAAGTATAGAAAAAATGAAATAAGTTTATTCAATTTTTTTATTTTACTCATACAATACACTCACTTGGTGGAACTAAAAGAAATGCATCTTTTCCTTATTTTCTTGTGGATTAAATGACTAAGAGGTAAGTATACTCTTTGGAAGTGAGAATAATGTAAAGTTCTCTCGCTAGCGATTGGTTGTCTTTGAACAAACATGAATGGAGGTGGATGTATTTGCTGTTGTTCAACATTCAAACTTCTTTTTTGGTCTCTAAATAAAACTGGCTCCCAAATATTAGCCAACACCCAGTTGAAATCAAGGTTTTGTAGATCAATAGTAGTTCACTACATAACTGTAAAAGCAAGAAAATTACATATCAAGTAAGATGATACTAACACTATAACTAAATAGTCCCTTCGTGTGGTGAAAGTCAAGACTTATTATCTTCCAGATGCGTCTACTTTGACACGGGATCCGAAAAGTGGGTGAACCCTACTGATGTCTGCAAAGTGACCAATGACCTGAGTTCTGGAGATGATGACTTTGTGGACTGTGAGTGCAATCATATGTCAAGCTACGCCGTTGTAGCCACAACCAGAGATGAAGACATCATAGGATATGTGGTCTGGTTTTATGTGACCTGCTTTATATGTATGGTAAGTTGATTACATATAAAATGATTGTGAAGTCAGTACAATGAGGGACAAATAGTAAATATTTTTTGCATGTCTTATATGTTACAATTACTCATTTCCATGGTAGTGTTAGGCCATATATGTAATTTTCTGTTTTAGGTTGATCAAAATAAAGATTTTGTGATACATGCGAGGAAAAAATAGGAAATAAAAGAAATCAATGCTTATTTCTCCATTATAACTTACTGCATACAAGACTCTAAAAGAAATATGAATAATTTGACACATTTTTGTCCTCGTTTTATGTTTATGTGACCAAAGCATAGTAAAAATTCTCAACAGTAGCTTTTTTTGTACATATGAACAAGGCTTGATAGTCTTTCACATTTTGTGATGGTATATTTGACTCAATTTTTTAACATAGAAAAAAATCAGCTGCAGCATTCCTAAATAGACTGCTCTCAAGAAACAGTGGACCCTCACCTTTTCGCCTGCCAATATTTTGAAATTTGAAATCATGGGGACTGAAAAGACACTGTCTTATATAGACAATACCCTTTTCTTCAAGCAGAGAAAGGATGACACAGAAATGTTTTGACTGTGGCAAGAAAAATTAAATTTGATGTTGGTGGATCTTACTGCTAAAAATATGACTCATAAAGATAAATCAAACAAAAACTGCAGTACTTTGGTTTTAACTAAGCTCATTCATGACTAGTTGCCACACGGTGCAGCACTCATTCAATCAGAGGGTCAAACTATAGCACACCACTGAGACTGAGCCATTACTTCTTTTATTCAAACTTCTTCAGTAGGGTCAGATCAAAAGACAAACGTCTGATCTAGAGCTGGGCTTTGCTGAATTCTTGTATATTCTACATGCAGTGCTATCAGTCTACTTTGAGTGCTGTTTAATATTACACGTGTGAATGTTGTACATCATTGTAGTTAACCTACCTATAAAATTGTGAAAGGTGGTGTAAAGAAGACAGAAATGAGGGTTTCTTTCTGCCTAGATCTAGTCTCTGAGTTCTGGTTCCATAACCCCTTCCCACCCAACTTTGTGAATGAATATTTCATACTTAGCCTTTTAGTTCTTGTATACTGCCCTTCATTTATTATTTTTTATTTTTTTCTGAAGAAATTATTAATTGTTTGCAAAACTACCATGTATAATTCACTTTAATAATACTCTTGTCACTGCTTTTTTGTGAGATGACATGTAGATTTTTCATTCGCTGTCACTTGCCAAGCAAATTGTGGGCATCCGTTTGCGACATTGCCATTGAGATTTGTTCATCGTCACCGCGCTTATCAGAAAGGTAATTATCACTGTTGTTTCATATTTGTTGTACTTTCCATGACTTTCCTACAAAGAGCCAATTTTTTAAACAAATTTTCATTGTCTAAATATTCATTGCCTCAGCTTCTCTTTCCTAACTTGAACTTAGTTGAATGACAAACAGTTTATTACGATAGAGCTGTTCTAGAATTGATTGCCCTTGAGGGAACAAACAGGGACAAATTGTTCTATTTCATTGACTTGTGTATTTACTTGTATCTCTTGCTGTGTGCTACCCATAGAATAAACGCATATTCATTTAATGGTTATCACATTTTCTTGGTGTATATTGTTTTGGCATTTTGTTCATGTGTCAGTATGTAGATTGTAAGAGAAAATATTTTGTTTAAAGTCTTCTTTCACAAACTTTAAATTCAAGTGCATGCTCTCTATAGGTCTTTGTTAGGAACTTTAAGTCTTCAAGATCTTTACACAATTGATCTTTTATCTCACTGTTCTTCTTATATACTTTTCTTTTTCCTCACATTATAATATTTCTACTTCAGATGTCAGTAGGCCTACCACTAGCATTAAAAGAAAATGATATATGATTCCTATAATGAAGCATTCCAATAATGCTCTGTTCACAGGTTGTCTTGTTCTTCATATACAAGCGTGTGTGCAGTCCTAATTCCAAAGTTGCTCATTTGGATGTCTCATGAGGCGACAATTCTTTAAGGCTGGAGATAGGACATACAGACTGCTGCTGATGTTCTTAATAACTGAGGATTCTAAGCTTTTCTCCAAAGACTGATTAGTTGTTTTTAGTGTAGATGCAGTGGTATCTTTTCTATCCGCTTAGTTGGCCAGAGATGTGTGCATGGATGACCAGTGACTTCTAAAATTACCCATAGATTTTGTTGACATTTTATCCGTGGTTATGTGCAATTTCACCATAAGTGCCTTCCTGTGGAATTTTTAGAGGAATTCCTTCTGTGATCAAAATAGAACTCTGCTGTTTCTTGCTATTATTGAGCTGAATGTTATTGTTCTCTTCACTCAAAAAGATCCATTGTCTCCAAAATGTCGTTTTCTTTTATTCAACTTCATTTTCACGTGTACCATAATCTCTAATTAGCCAACTATACATTTCATTACAATGATGTATATTTATTACATTACCTGGGGTTTTTGTTTGTTTTGTTTTTTCTTTTTTTGTTGGGGGGGGGGGAGGGGTACTTGCGAAGTGAACAACTTTTGTGTTTCGTGCTTCTACTGTTTTGCAGTATCATCCTTCTTTGGCTTCCGCTAGATCTATAAATTGAGATATTTGTCATAATTGGTGTAAATGATTACTTTTTATGCCAAGTTCTTGAAACAAGTCTATCTTAAGTCATTGGTACATGCTAGAAGGTTACATCTAATGGCAGAGCAAATGTTTAAAGTACTGTTTAAGTTTATGAGAATCATATAGTACTTATTGTTGAAATGTTGCATATTTTATCATTTTTCTCTTTCTGGTAAAGTTATCTGGAAATGAGGGTAGCATTTTGCTTCTAAAAGAACCTTACAGGGGGGAAAAAATTATACAATGTCAAATTGTTTTTAAAAATTTTCAAGGACAACATGTTATATTGTTCATCCGACTTTAATTCTGCCTTCATAACACTGTTTATCTTTCAGTAATCCTCTGCACATGTTTTGTCTCTTTTTCTGAGCAAATGAATACCAAAAATATTGAAGCCACTTATCATCATGAGATCAGAACAAGCAGAGACATATCACTAGCTGTTTGTTATTACAGAGCTGTATGTTTGCATTGTCTTTTATGTCGATGCTGAGTGGGCACGCGTGGAGTTACATGATTGGCCATTATGTTACATATTTCCATAAATGTTGATTCATGTCAGTCATGTGGCAAGTTATTGCTCTGGCAGCTAGCATGATCAGTGATTTGCATTATCATCTCTTCAACTGACCATTATTTTCAATAGCATGAACAGCCATGCACATCTAGGTGTGTCTGCCTTTAAGGGAACAAAAATGGGCTATGCTTGTTCTGTCTCACTGACATTGAATTGTATGTACTTGTATCTCTGGGGTTTTTGTTTTTTTGTTTTGTTTTGTTGTTGTTGTTTTGTTGTTTGTTTGGTTTTTTTTGGGGGGGAGGGGGGGGGGGGGGATTGGGGCTCATAACATGAACTTGTATCACAATGATTTCTTCTGTGGCTGATATAACTATTTATGACCATTAACTTATTCAGTGAGTTAACCTGTAGCAGTTCCCTGCTGATTGTGTCCTTTTTGTCGATCTAAAACTCTGCTATTTAGATTGATAAAGTTTGTTCCATTTACTTGTCTTATCTTACCTATATACCATTCTCTCAATAAAAACTGTGGATGATTGGAGAGTGCTACTAGTTGGTTCTTCATCTCTTCTTTTTCTCTGTTGTTTCTGTCTGTCTGTCTGTCCTACTTTTTCCATGCACTAAACAACTCTTGTTATGTAGATGTGCTTCACATTACTCAAACGAACAAAAATCAATAAAGAAAAATTCCTATTTGATAGTTTGCCGTGTTGGTATTTTTATTTTCCTTCTCTTAGATCTAGTAATGCCCTATTGTCTCATTTCACTTGAGTACACATGTCATATGGATGACATCTCTTCTTTTCTTCATGTACTGAACAAAGTTGAAGAATTGGGAAGAAAAATGTATTTTGATTTTATGAACTAAAGAAGTAGATGGTGATTGTTGGAAATAAAGGTAAGGTCAATTGTTTTCATTAGCGTTACAAAATTGGCTTAGCATTGTTCTTTTTTTGCTTCTCAAATTTCAAGCAGTAGTATTGTCAAGAAGAAAGCAGTCTTCAAAAGGGAGTAAAGGAAACCCATCACAGTATAACTAAGTAGTCAATAAAAACAAGAACAGACCATGTCTAAGCCAGGAAGGCCAAAGATGAAACAAGAATAGCTAAATGAACACTTCTCTGGTCTCCAAGGAGAAAATTGTCACTCTTTTAGTTTTGAGCAAAATGATATGTGATCTTCTCACCATGAATACAAAAACAAACTCAACAACTGCCGTTGGATTTTCTCTATTGTTAAATAAAAATGTCTCAGTAGTACTTCAATGGGTTTTTTTAGCATCTTATTTCTTTTGTAGTTTGAGGAGGGAAGGATAAGGGGAAAGGGGGGGGGTAACTTGATTTGACTTTTATTCTTGGGATGAGAATGGGTGTTCAATTACCAAGAATAAATCTGTTTTTCTTGTCAAATGTGGATACTGTGTGACCTAGATTAACATAGTATCTAACATAGGGCAGATCCTTGCTAATCAGTAGGGTTTGAGATAGTTGGCATATCGGTTCAACCTTGAGATCACCCAGTTTGCCTTGAAATTGCTTCTTTTGGCATTTTTCTCTTAGAAAAATTAGAGTTGAACCAAAATTCAATTAGTTTTCATACTTTTGATGTTTTTGTTTTGAAAGATTGTTGGGTGCTATTAAAATAGATAGGGGTGTCTTTATCATTCAGACATTGAAAAGAGTTTTACATGTGTTCTTTGTGTGAGAAGTGGAAGGAAAAAAAGGAGAAGTAAAAGATAAGGAGGGAAAGTGGTACATAGGAGAACTTGCAAAAAATTTAGAAGTTCTTAGAAAAAATGCAACTCATGTTTCAATTTTTATGCATTTTAATTTCAGAGCTGCATCATCATCGCTGTCGCAGTCCACCATGTTTGTTTCTCAGCAGCTACTTTCTCTGCCAGCTTGCACATGCATTTCTTGATGGCCATATTTTTTACTCTGGTATGTTCTGCATCTGCGTGTATGCCTGTTTTAAGTGGCAATCTCCATGCTGTTTCATACTAAGGTGTCAGAATCTGGACAATCAAGCTGTAATATCCTATCTGTTTGTCAATGAGGAGGTGATTACTATACTGTTTTGTTGTGTAGAGGGATACAGCTGACTTGGGCAATAGTTGGGTGCCTCCCACTTCATGAGCCAATGGGTGACACAGATTTTTTGTTCCGTTTGAGTTACACTTTTAAAAAGTCAGTGAAAAAAATTGTTTGAAAGTAGATTTCTTGACAGAGTGGAAAGAGTAGAGGAAAGGAATGAAGGAATAGAAAATGTATAAAACCAAAATAATTATTAGTCACATGCATCTGAGCTGTCATTAGACTTAAGAAAAGTATTACTTCTTGCTTTGATGCAGAGATGTACGGGGTGGAGGGATGGACTTTTAAAGATTTGTTGTTTTCTTACTAGTACCTTACTCTTGCTGCCCAATCACATCACCACTTGACATCAATGTGTTGGTAAATGTATGCTGTCTTCTGTACACTTCTTTTGATGCTAGAATAAAATGTTTGGCTCTCTTTTCACCCCCAGCTCTGCCTTGTCATCGATGCTTTCTTGTCTCCGGATGAGATCCTGGCGTTCTCACCTGATGGGGACAATGCAGACTGTATTGCGATGGGAGTGTTCCTTCACTACTTCTTCCTGGCTCAGTACACTTGGATAGCTACACAGGTGAGTCCATTACACCAAGGTCTTTTTTTCCTGTTTTGTGTACATTTTTGCGCCATTTTTTTTCTTTGTTTCGAAGGCTTTACATTTTTCTTTCATCTGGTTGTGTTGTGTATTCACAGGCTATCAATTTCTGGAAAGTTCTAATAATGAATGATGAACACACGGAGAGATACTACATCATCTTTTTCATCATAGGCTGGGGTAAGTATGATCCGACATTATATATGAAATCTTTTTAGTTGTGATATGTCTTCTACATCAAAAGTCAATTATTTGTTTGCTTATTGCATAATGGTGCGCTTTGCTTTTTCTAAATTTACTGTAGATATTCCTGTGTTTTTTTTATGAGGGTGTGTTCAGGGGAAGGAGCATTACAACATGGTAGAATCAACATTACTAAACCTTATGTATTTAAAAATGGTATGTAGACATTCTAAATTATCTTAAAAGATCAAGTCACATGTAAAAAAATGATCTTTTAGTTAAATTTGGTTTCAAGTTGGCATCTTTTGAGTTGTAGACCACTGTAATTCTATATAACCAATCTGAGTTATTGTCTCTGTTCAGAGGTAAGTTATGAATTTTTTAAAAATCCATCATGTGTAGAAAAAGTTATGGTAATAAAGTATTATCTCTTTAGTGGAGTGCGATTTTCTCTTAAGAAATATTCTTTCCTGAAAATAGAACGGTGACTGTAATGATTGTGACAATTGTTCAAAATACTCAATGTTGAGAATCATTGAGTCTAAGGATTTGTTGTCCAATTCTACAGGAGTGCCTCTTATTCTTGTTGCCATATTCTACACTGTGACCTACATCATCTTCAAGAACCACACAGACTTGAATGAGGACTTCATCTACGGAGACGTCAACAGAAATGGTGAAATGTAAGAAATGTTCACATCTTTTGGTGTGGTGTTGAGAGGAAGTTTGTTTCAAAATTCCACGCTCGGTGTGATGCATCATACACATATATATATCTCCGCTGTCATAAAAAAAGGATTGAAACTCCAATTTTCAAAACTTGTATAAGACGGTAAAATTGAGATACCCATTTTTCCTGCTAAAACTCAGATATTTTTGCTGGTGGTTGGAGGGCACCAATGATAGGTCTTACTTCTTTTCTTTCCCTATGTTGTTTCTGTCTTTTTGTTTGTCTTGCTTTTTCCTTGGGCTAAATGACTGTTATCATATTACGTGTAGGGGGTCTCTTTTCTCAAACTAAATTGAAACCAATTTCCCATTTATGCTGGTACATATGTAGTCTACCAGCCTTATGCAAAAACACTATTGTGTTCCGTGCTAGAAGAGTCGAACAGTTATTGTATCATTAGGGAATATACAGTTGTTTAGTCTTTCATAATGAAAAAAATAAGGTTCATAGATAATTTATGGTGCGGCTGTATTAAGAATTGATTCTTTTAATCACAGTCTACAGTTGTTTAATATATAAATATATATATATATATATATATATATATATAAATTTTGACCTTTCACCCCATCTCTGTGTCCTTGCAGCTGTTTCATCACAAATGAGTTTGCAGCTCTGGCCGGTATCCTGGCTCCGGTGCTGCTTGTGCTGCTAGTGCTGGCCTTTGTGTTCATCAAAGCCTACCAGATCTCCTCCCAGTGGATGCTCTATGACGACCTGTACAGGGGCAGGACGAACTCCAGGGGTGAGACACTTGTAGCACACACTCTTTGGTAGTGACCGTCAGGTACTTTGAGTTCTGTTATAGTTCATACAAGAGTGAAGACACTGCCAAACCTGCTCTAACAGCCACCTGTTTATAAGACAATCATCTTTACAAATGGCCTCTTCCCATGTACTCCCTTGCATATTTTTTACAATGTAATAACATTGCGCAAGACATCCACCTGTCTGAGACAACTACTTTTCTCCTAAACACTGGGTGGGCGTTGTAGACCATTCATCTGTAATTCCAAACTCACTCTTGTGAGAGTTTCATTTACCAACACCAGGAAATCTTGTTCTCTGTTATAAGATTTTTTATGATGACCATCTCCTCAGAAATTCCTTTGATCCTGTTGATTTGGGCCCTCCTCCTGCTGTCCAACTTGTGGCTGGGCCTGCACATGATCTATGGGCACCTGTGGATGATGGTGCTTTTTGCCATCACAGCTCTTATTTTGGTATGGGGTTTTTTTTTCCAAGTATCAGATATCGCTATGTTAGTTTTCCTCAAATCTCATACTAACATTATGTTTTTCGAGGATATAGTTAGTTTTCTTTTTAAGCCTACAGAGTGTTTCTGTTGCTGGCAGATAACCATGATTTTTTTTAATGGGCAAAAATGGCCCTTGAAAAACAAATTGGAATGAATGACAATGTACTTACATATACTAATAGTAGTGTAAACCAATCTGAAATTATTTTTGCAGATGTTTTAATTTCTGTTTAGTTATGCTATGGAGTGTTTTTTGAGGCTACGAGTGTTTTTACTTTAATTTCTTTTCAGTTGGGGAGGCAGAGAGCAGGAGGTTAAAAAACAATTAATACGACTAACTGTTTTTTATAAATGTGAATGCAGGCTAATCTAAATTTCTCTTGAGGATAAATACTTAGTTTCCTTTTACTTTCAATGTCTTTTTATTTGTGAAAAGAATGAGAAGTCAAATAAAGATATTAATGTCTCTTTATGGATCTTACCAAAGTAAGGTTCAGAAGTTTGAGATGCCCTAGTATTCATGGCTTTATCCTTTTGTCAAAGCAGTCATTTTTTTCTTTACTTCTAAGAAAAGTGTTTGTAGGATGCTACTGGCAGGTTCTGTTTCCCTGTACCTCATTAGTTCTTGTCAAACTGTCTTCCTTTATTTCCATCCTAAAATAGCCTTTATTTTGGGGATTTGTTTCTCTGTAACTTTGCTGTTTTATTTTTAATCTTCTTTTCAGGCAATTTTGATCCTTGTTATCTATGCTGTGTTCCGCAATCCCTTGTTTGCGAAATGGCTGGGACCCGTCAAGTCCTCGTACTCTTTGAGCAGTGACGTTCCACCTTACCCTCCACAAGATCATCAGTTCAATCATTACGTCAATGCTGCCAGCATCAAGGGTTCTCGAACATCTTTGCTGAATGAGGTAAGTCCTCAAAAAACTTGCATCATATTAGGTTGAAGTCCACTGAAACTGAACATGTTTATTAAGAAAATAGTGGTAATCTGAAAAACATTAAAATATCCCCTTTTTTTTCACAATTTGGGCAATATGTTTAAACCAAAAATGCTGCTTAACTGAAGAAAATCTGACATTTAAGCTGATTCCACTGTATTTTAAATGCCCAAACTGATCGCCTGACATGCAAGCTTGAAAACAGATACGTTAGTTATTGAAGGTAATCATCAGTTTTGTCGGTTTTCTCCCTCTTGTGGAGGACAATTCAGCTAGCCACACAAATCAACAAAACCAAACCAAACCGGACAGATAATGCCAATGGGCACCGCTCATAACACAGCTCTTGCTCGACAGCAGGCAAAGATTCCACACCATGCTGTGTAGCAAAGTCGAACTGCTATGCTTGTGGTACTATAGAACTTTACACACTGAAAGTAATTAAAGTACGATATGAATGAACGTTATAGTAGCACTTAAGTACACTATTTAGATAAGCCTGCATATCCTCGTAGCTTCAATTTGTAAAACTAATATTTTTCTTTCAGTCTGAAATGTGTTTCCATAATATCACTCTTGTTAAGTTTTCCATGAAACTTTTTGTTTTCTTTGGCACAGGCGTGGGAGAGGAACACTGTTGGAGGTCAAAGCAGGATGACAGTGAAGCGAGCCTTGCCCTCTCAGGTCTACATTGACCCACCCATGGCAGTGGTCAGTCCAGCTGCTACCATAGAAAGTGACAGTCCAGATTTTGATGATCTCATCTACGCCTTAAAAATGGGCCGCAGTTTGACGCCAAGTGAACTTTCCAGAAGTTTTGACGATGACATCTCGCAGCTTTCCGTGGTCCTTGACAGATACGAGACAAAACGCATTGACATTGCTGATACTCATCTGTAGTCCTGAAAGAAATGTGTTTTTTATTTATAAAAATAAGCATTCCTTACGATATATGTGAATATTGAGCTTTTATGTGTGTGTAAATAACTCATCCATTTTTCCTGTGTATATATGATCCTCTGACATGCTTTGTAGTTATTTACTTCACTTGTCCACTCCTAAGCTATTTTTTTAAAAACAGTCCCTTTTTATCAATTTTAAGAATAATTTATGATTCTAATCACAGCCTGATGGACTGTAAAATTGGCCAGTCATTGAGTCATATCCATGTCAAATAGCTTATGCAGAAATTTAAAAAAAATATGAAATGCTTTTAATTTAACAAGACAGTATCAAACCATCAATCATATCAGGATTGCATGGGTCAGTTGTTGGATTTACTTCACTGTTCTTTGATAGGTGTGTTCTCAGTGCACAGAAGGGTAGAGGTAGGGCACTTTCAGGTTCAGTGGGTTGAAACTTTTTAAAGTGATGATCAGAGAGTGTTCGAATACTATGAATTGTGAGACTGCATGGCGAAATCAGGCGCTCGTCAAAATAATGAAAGTGAAGAAATCGGCATTTTTTTTGCAGGTTTTTGGAATTTTTTAAATTTTTTTTGGCTCAACACCTTTCATGCCCATAAAAGAACACTTTTTTGTGTTGATTGGTTATCAAGAAACGTTGATTAAAGGTATAAAAATGTAAATTTTCAGGTACCTAGGACTCTCAGGCTATGAAAGTTACCAAACTTTGAAGGCCTAATTTTACCTCTGAAAACAGGCGAACCTGAGCTCCTTCAATCGCAAATATTCCGACTTTAATTCAACATAGACAGATTTTTTTTTCATCAAAAGGAAGGCAAATGAACAGGCTTTAAGATGTTACCAATAACCCTGTATGCCCAAAAACTGACGAGCGCCTGATTCCACCACGTCGTGACACAATTGTATAAATAAATAGAATTGGTAATTCTTTGCTTCTTGTAAATTGGGATGCTAACTAACTTTTTTGAGACACTTCTTTTATTAATTTGTTATTTAGAGTTGTCCTACAAAAAAACTTGATTAATAATAGAGTTAGAACTTTCCTCTGAATGCAGCTAGAGCTGTGTCATATTATGGAAGAAAACAAGACTTATGACTAATGCAATGAATTCATGTGTTGATGTGACATATAGCCTATTTCAGAAGAACTGGTCCTTCTCTTTTATTTTGTGCATCTGGACCTCAGAAGAGTTTTGCTATTATTAAGTCAATGGGGTTTCAGAAAATTGTTGGCTTTGTTTATTAATTTTTCTTGGATTGTTATATTCTTCTGTAGTTTTTCCCTGCTTGAAAAGAAAAAGTTAACTACCTCTTCAGGCTGCAGTTGATCAAGAGTAATTTTGTCTTGAAAACATTATTTCATCTTTTGGTTTACAGATAATCAAGAAACCATTCATTGTTGAGAAATTATTGATACAACGACAGTTCATGTAACAACCCATACTATAGCAGCTATTTTAACTGCTCAAAGCGGCATCCTCCTTTCATTCTTGTCTACTGAGCAATTTCGGCTTCCAGACTTATGTTAGCAGTAACCAGTAGTAAATACAAAATGTTTTGGCAGGGGTGGGTTTCTAGAATTGATATAACGTTACGTTTTCTTTTTCAGAACAGATATTTACCAGTTTCTTTTGAATTGGGATTCACGAGGAAGGCTGAATTATAAAAAAATATTCCCGTTTTTCTTCACGTGCTAAAAGTTTGTAATAATATTGACATGTATTTGAAAAAAAACTATTTAATGACAATGGAAAATAATCATACACTTAAATCTCAGTAATAAATGTTTGCTAGTATTTTCACAAATGCTGAAGTTGTCAGAGCAAAAGATTTAATTTATTATCTATTTTCGTTTTTTCAAAACTATTAATGCTATTCAAATGTATGACTCTTTGTTTTAAGTCACTTTCTTGTGTATTTTCATGTCAGTGGAATACTGCTTTTTAAATGATTGTTGTGGATATTCCCATGGAGACAATGAAATGAAACTGTACTTACAAAGAAGCAATGGGAAGCTTAGACTGCCTGAAAAGCATGATGAGCTTGTATGGTTCAAGGTGCTGACTTTTTAAATGTGCTGATGATTGCCAATGTCTGTTTTAGATCTGGTTCTCAGTGATGATGATAATGTGTGTACGTCCGATTTTATTTTTTCTTTATCAGTTTCTTTTTCATCCGTTAAAGGTACACTTCATTTGCAAATACACATGAACTTATTGCTCTCTCTGTCTACATCAATGGTTGTTAAAAATAATGGTAATGACAACCCTAAAATAAAACGTTTTGGTCATGCAAAGAGGCACAGCAGTTTTGAAAAAAACTTTTTTAGAATGAAAAGTTCCTCGGAAACGTGATAGTGGACACCCTAAATAGCTTAGAATATCAAGTTGAAGGGTATAAGGCTCAGGCGTTGTGATGTTTGAACAGTTCTTGTGTTCTTGAGTCAAATACAAGATTGAAATTCAGCCTATACTCACAATGCAGGAATCTGTATATTCTTCTTCTACAGTTTGACGGACTCTCTGTCTGTAATAACTAATGACCACTCAGTCTACAAACATCTTGACTAGTGCTTCATTTTTGGCAACCAGAGTAGGCTAACTTGTTTGTTGTTTTGTCTTATTTTTCTTCCCTTCCCGTTGTTTGATATATGATTGTTTCGACAACTGATTGAAATTCAGAACAAACTTGACAAAGATCACAAAACATTTTTTGTTGTTTGTATCACCACACTGTCATATACTTCTTGCGAATGGTCTATGCTACATTACTTCTGCTTTTCTCTTTGATCAACTGAAAAATAAATATTTGCAGACAAAGAATTGATCAAGCCTTCTGTAAAACTCCATTCTATGCAAATGCAATATTATTGTCAGTTTAAAATTCTAGATCACATTGATGTGTCAAGTTTTCTCTAGATTGTGAGCATTCTTGTCTTCACATTGAAGCACTGTTTTTGTCATCACATTTTTAATGAGTGCTATGACTTTCTTGAAGTTATGATGCAAATAAGTGTTGTTTTAGTAATAAAATATGTGTTAAATATCTTTGTTGCCTTTTGGGTGTGTTTTGTTTGAGGCAAAGTGTCCTTGGTATTAATAGATAGGCCTACTCTAATTTTGTTGTAGTTGTTGTTATCAATCCTGCAACAGCTGGGCCCTCGTCGCCCATCTTTCCAATGCCATGTGGTGATAAGTACAGGTTTGCTACTGTTGCTGCAATGTTCAATGTTAGGTCTCATCTCGGAGGGATCACTGTTACTCTGATGTCATTTAGGGCTGTGCTATGGAATAGGTGATGATCCACAGTCTCATATGCATGGTCACAAAAAGCACACATTTGGGGAAATATTGTTTTATTCTGTTCAAGTGGAAGTTGAGCTGTCTATTCATAGGCGGAAGATCGTGGTCTGTTTCTTTCTCTGTACATGATTGATATCGTCGTTTTGTTTTCTTGTGGTCATATGTTTGAAAACCGCCCTGCCTGTCTTTCCTAAGGCCCATCTGTTCATCCAATCTTGTTTGTTGTTTTTAATGAATTGTCTTGCAGTGTTGTATGAAGTTGGAATGTTGGGCTGTTTCTGTCTAGATCCCCTTTTGGCACGTGTGTCTGCTCTGTCATTTCCAGGTATGTTTGAGTGTCTGGGAATCTACTACATCACCAGGTTGATGCCACAGAATGTTACCAGGTTTTGGGAGCCAAGGAGTAAATGTGTCAAATTTTAGTTTAGATGATGGTCATTTTCTACCGCTTGCAAGACTCAATGTAAGTTGGTGAAAATCAAAATACGTTCTGTGTTTTGTTCGGATGAGTGTCAAAAACTATGAGGAGATGGTACAGTGCTGTTTCAACTGCATAAGGTCATATGAGCGCCATGACAAAAAAATTGAGTTGAGGTGGTGCGATAGCCTCTTCTAATTTTCAATGGTCGCATTTCGCCCTCTCAGCTCAACAGTTGAGTTGGTCAACTAAAAAGTTGTAGTGCGGTACGGGTCTTAGTTCTGCAGGGTCACATTCTTATTTCACCGGCTCCTTTATGCGGAAAGTTTTATGTTCGAGTTATTTGTGTTTGTTGTTTGCGGGGGTG